ACTAGAAGCCAGTCCACAGCTGCATCATTAGCCACTTTAAACCTCTCCAATCCATACATGAAGCAAACTGACACCCACCATAAAGATGTGGCACGACCACGAACACGAAGCCAAACAACAGTAAAGAAGCTCACCATCTCAAATGCTCCTGCAACTCAGACTAACCTGAGCACAACAAAGCCCCCATCCAAACAGAACACTCCCCCATCCAATCAGAGCACAGCCAACCCCCCATCCAATCAGAGCACAGCCAAGCTCCTTAACCAATCAGAACACACCTCCACCCAATCAGAACACAGCCAACCTCCCACCCAATCAGTTCAAACCCCACTGGCAGTTAAAAGGAAGAAACAGCTGCGATCACACATTACTCCTAGAAGCACGAAGCCAAAAACACCAGCCTGAAGATGACGAATGGGACTTCGTCGAAACGTCGCCAAGACACTTCCAATTTTACGCGGGAGAAAACTCGAATAACCAAAGACCTACATACAAACACCCACGAAAACCTCAGAAAACATATATATATATATATGTAATATACAGTATATCTACGTAACACATATACACCGAAGTCAATCAAATGTTGACTTCAAATTCATTTTAAAAAACTAGAATAAATTTTCCTATATTGTACAATAGATAGAGTTTATCATGGTCACAGACTAGAGTTCTTATGTGTTCAGTAACTGCCTTTTAAAATAAAATGAAAAGAAGTAAATTGATTTTTGTTAATCATATCAAAAAAGCACTTTTACTAGGATTAGTAGTAGTTAGTAAAATCTTCCTAATTTGTTTATATTGTATTTTAAATAATGAAATTGGACCTTTTAAATAAAATCTATTCTACTTACCATTTAGTACTTTTTACTTGCACCCTTTCTAGCATGAAAATCAAAATAGATGTTTAGGAAGTTCAATAGAAGGTCAGTGATTCCACAAAGTAAAGACAGATGGTTTGAAAATACAGTCATTCACTTTATATTTTCCGCTACTTCTCCTTACTTTAGTTGATGACTACTGAAAATGACCTAAATGAGAAATATACATAGAAAATGCCCGAAGAAGCACATACACGGGTCAGAACATTGGATAATCTTATGTTTTAAAGGTAGGGCAGTGGGTAATAAAAGAAGCAGCAGGCATGATATATGACCTTTTTAAAAAAATGTTTGATATTTATAGAAAACAAATAGATTCATACATTTTATTTTTGCCCAAAATGTTATATTCTGATTTCAGATGACATTCCACATGCAGAAGGATGCTACTGAGCTTATACTTTTTGAGATGCCTGTACATTCTCCCATTTCACTCTTTTTCCAAATATATAATTAAAAAAATAAAATGTGACAGCGACATGCTGCAAATCACCAGATTGAGAATCATCTTTTCTTCCAATAATTCTCTTAGGTTTCACATAGGCACCCTAGCCATTATTGGAGGAAAAAAATGATGGAGGACTATTTGTATTTATAAATGGGTTCATATACCTAGCAAAAAGACAGGGATAATCTATCCTTGATGTTAGAGAACAGAGCAGGGAACAACATCAACAGTTTGGTTTTTTTTATTAATTTTGTAAATAAGTAATAATTCATGACAGTCAATTTCTTTGAATTATATTACATGCTTTTAAAATAGCAAATTATAAAGAAGGCGGTGATCTTTAAATTAGGCTAAATTGTTCTAACGTATTTTTAAATATTTTCTTATGAAGCAGCTGTCATTGGTGGTTCTGGGTATGGGAGGATAAAAATCCTTTAGCGCAGGAAAGTGTGTCCCCTAGAAGAGATAAGAATGCCCTCTTAAATGAACAGTGCAAAGAAATAGAAGAAAACAATAGAATAGAGAGAACCAGAGATCACTTCAAGAAAATTGGAGATATGAAGGGAACATTTCATGTAAAGATGGGCATGATAAAGGACCAAAATGGCAGGGACCTAACAGAGGCAGAAGAGATTAAGAAGAAGTGGCAAAATTACACAGAAGAACTATACAAGAACGAGCTTAATGTCCCTGATAACCACAATGGGGTGGTCACTGACTTCGAGCCAGACATCCTAGAATGTGAAGTGAAATGGGCCTTAGGAAAGCTGAGCAACAACAAAGCTAGTGGAGGTGACAGTATTCCAGCTAAGCTATTCAAAAGCTTAAAAGACGATGCAGTAAAAGTGCTACACTCAATTTGCCAGCAAATTTGGAAAACTCAACAGTGGCCACAGGATTGGAAAAGGTCAGTTTACATTCCAATTCCAAAGAAAGGCAATGCCAAAGAATGTTCAAACTATCGCACCATTGCACTCATTTCACATACAAGTAAAGTTATGCTTAAAATCCTACAAGCTAGACTCCAGCAGTATGTGGATCGAGAACTACCAGAAGTATAGGCAGGATTTCGAAGAGGCAGAGGAACTAGAGATAAAATTGCCAACATATGCTGGATCATGGAGAAAGCTAGGGAGTTCCAGAAAAACATCTACTTCTGCTTCATTGACTATGCTAAAGCCTTTGATTGTGTGGATCACAACAAATTGTGGCAAGTTCTTAAAGAGATGGGAGTACCAGACCATCTTATTTGTCTCTTGAGAAACCTATATGTGGGCCAAGAAGCAACAGTGAGAACTGGACACGGAACCACTGATTGGTTCAAAATTGGGAAAGGAGTCCGGCAAAGCTGTATTCTATCGCGCTGCCTATTTAACTTACAGTATATGCAGAGCACATCATGAGAAAGGCAGAGCTAGATAATCAAAAGTTGGAATCAAGATTGCCGGGAGAAATATCAACAACCTAACATATGCAGATGATACCACTCTAATGGCAGAAAGTGAAGAGGAACTAAAGAGCCTCTTGATGCGGGTAAAGAAGGAGAGTGCAAAAGTTGGCTTGAAACTAGAAAACCAAGATCATGGCATCCGGCCCTCTCAATTCCTGGCAAATAGAGGGGGAAGAAATGGAGGTAGTGACAGATTTTATCTTCCTGGGCTCCAAGATCACCACAGATGGGGACTGCAGCCAAGAAATTAAAAGACGCTTGCTCCTGGGGAGGAAAGCTATGGCAAATTTAGATAGCATACTAAAAAGCAGAGACATCACCCTGCCAACAAAAGTACGTATAGTCAAGGCCATGGTTTTCCCAGTTGCAATGTATGGCTGTGAAAGTTGGACCATAAGAAAGGCTGAGTGCAAAAGAATTGAGGCCTTTGAATTATGGTGCTGGAGAAGACTCCTGCAAGTCCCCTGGACTGCAAGGCGATCAAACCGGTCAGTCCTAGAGGAGATCAACCCTGACTGCTCTTTAGAAGGCCAGATCCTGAAGTTGAAACTCAAGTACTTTGGCCACCTAATGAGAAGGAAGGACTCACTGGAGAAGAGTCTAATGCTGGGAAAGATTGAGGCCAATAGAAGAAGGGGACGACAGAGAATGAAGTGGCTGGATGGAGTCACTGAAGCAGTAGGCATGAACTTAAATGGACTCCAGAAGATGGTAGAAGACAGGAAGGCCTGAAGGAACGTTGTCCATGGGGTCACGATGGGTCGGACATGACTTCGCAACAAACAACAAATGTTTCTATACCTGATTAGCTAGGCATAATAGAAAAATGGAGCCCAGAAAGCCTGTATTTTTACTAGTTTTGTTACATCCTTTCTCAGATCTGACAATCAGAACTTACACAGTATTAAGGTTGCAGATGTGTCAGATTTCTATGAGGACATTTTAATTTTAAACCTTTTCCTAATGCTGATTTTTAAAAATATTTAATATTTAATTTATTATATTTAAAATAATAAAATATTTAATATTCCTAATTATGGGATTTTGCCTTTTTCACAGCTACCATAAACTAAGCCAAAATATTTATTTGTTAAATACAGTTACATCAGAGCTTGGCAGTTTATATGTGAAATTACATTTGTTTTGCCTCAGGGTATATCACTTTATATTTACTTAAATTGAATTATATTTACCATTTGCTAAATCATTCACCAGTATATCGGTAACCTTCATAATTACTTTTGTATTTTAGCATCCTGAATATTAGTATCAAATCACTCAAAGTTGACCAAATTGACTAATCCCCAAGTCAAGGACATTTATAACAAGTTAAAATTGCTATAAATTGGGGGACTCAAGTTTTTATTCCTTTCCACTAAGATTTGATTGCTTGATTATGTGCCATGCCTCATAGCAATAGCACTTAGACTTATAAACCGCTTCACAGTGCTTTACAGCCCTCTCTAAGCGGTTTACAGATTCAGCATATTGCTTCCAAGAATCTGCGTCCTCATTTTACCAACCTCGGAAGGATGGAAGGCTGAGCCAATTAGGATCGAAGGACTCAAAACTCCTGGCAATGTGAGCAGAGTTAGCCTGCAGTACTGCATTCTGACCACTGCGTCATCACAGCTCATGGTTGCTCCTAGCAATCTTATAGGTAGATTCCCCCCCTTATTTATTCCTATTCTTTGCTAGCAGTTAGTGATCCATTAAAAAAACCATCTTCTTATGATCATTTACTTAAAAGCCTTTGATTAATTTGAAGTTTTTTGTCAAATTTTAAGAATGCAAAAGTAAACATTTTGAGTATAACAAAAATAATTTCAGGAGTTAAATTTTGGATTATTTAGATGCAGAGAAGACTATTGTAATCTCTGTCCTGAATGTTGCAATATATTTTAACTAAAGGAAATGGTTAAGGGTCCTTAAAATTGATAGGTCTTCATCGACTAATAGCAAATGTTTTATTGTACAATCCTATGTATATTTCCCCAAACAAACCTCCCACTTAACTCAATTGGTTTATTCCCAGACCAGCTTTAAGAAACTATAAAAAGAGAGATGATACCCTTGTTGCTCTGTTTTCATTGTAACCAGCTGATTAGACATTGCAACACTATGAAATCAAACCATTAGTATAATAGGATTTATTTCTTACTAATGGCTATGTGTGCTGATGGCAAATTTATGCGGGTCTTGATTTCTGTTTTATTTTCAGAATTGGGAGGTTATTTGATGGCACAGAGCCCATTGTTTTGGATAGCCTGAAGCAGCACTACTTCATCGACAGAGATGGCCAAATGTTCAGATATATTTTGAATTTTCTACGAACTTCAAAGTTACTCATACCGGATGATTTCAAGGTGAATTGTATTTATTGTCATCTTCTTCATAACAACAGAAGAATTATGAAGCAATTGTTTGAGTAACACTAGTAAACAATTGTAAAACACTTGGGGAATAATTGCTTTGTTTGGTTTTGGTAAAGTATAGATCAATAAAATGAATATTTGAAATTATCAAAGCAATATTCAACTTCTAATTTTAAAAGTATGGTTATGCCAAATGTATACTGCCTTTGGGTAGCTGTGCCTCAACCCAAACATGCCTGTTTCAGACATCTTGGTCTGCCCTTAATGAAACTTAATGGGCTGTTTTTCTTTGTATGTAGAACAAGATGGGATTGCTTCTTTTGGGGCACATTCAGTTGAAGGTAGTGGAAAAAAATCCAGGATATTGGCATTTGAAGAGAGGAAAGAAAAGCAAAGGAAGGCAAGGGTGCTAATAGCATTGAGGGGCAAGGGTGCTGCAACACTGGAACATTGGCAGTGGAGGAGGAAAGGCTGAAGAAGATGCAGCCTGGTTATCTTTTGCCAAACCATGTTTTCTGAATACCAACTTCTGGTGGGCAATAATGGAAAAAGGCTGCTGTTTTTATGTTTATCACTTTGCGGTCTTCTTGGGCTTATTATTGGAAACAAACTGCAGAGTATAATGAGTCTTTGATGTGAACCACTAGACCTTTCATGGATTTACATTTCATGTAATCCAATTTTAATACAAATGCTTTATTTAAACCATATCTGTGGTTTGCTTATTAATGTGACCTACTGTATTTGAATCAATATTATAACATGATTCAGGAAATCATAGATATATGCATATATACCCAACTTTTCTTCAGGCAGTGCAATTTGCATATGATATTCTTTTCCCTTCCATAGTTCACAACAATCCTGTGACTGAATAAGAATAATCTGATCTGAAGTCTGTTCTGATTCTGAATCTAATCTGAAGGAACTACATGACTCAGTGTTCTAAATTAAAGTTCTTCCAAAGATGGAAAAATCACAAATTTAAACTTAAAATCCTAGAGTTGAAGAGATTGTTTTGGCTATCAAATCCAATCCTAAACTCAATATTTCATTTGATTATTTTTAATTAAATTTAACTATCCAGCATCTTCTTAAACACAGAGGTGGAAAAAAATGACTCTTGGCTTTAACCTGAATTAGTTCTTGCAATTTTCTTGCCAAGATTTTCAGAAGTGGATAATTTTCTTCCTAGGGTTCAGAATGTATGTATTGGCTGAAGATCACCCAGGTGGCTTTGTGCCTAGGATGGGACTAAAACTCAAAATCTCCTGTTTTCTAGCCTGGTGCCTTAACTACTATACCAAACTGGTTCTCCTCAATTAGTAATTTACTGTTAATCTCCACCATCAGATTTTTTAAAAATATCATTTAGCTTTATTTCTAGTTAGCACATTTAAGTTTGTTTGTGAATAGCTTGCTTAGAGTATCACACTACATTACATACCGTATACAGAAAAATATTTACTGAGACAAAAACAAGCCATCTAGGGAATGTATGATCCTCAACTATACTTTATTTCTTAACCAATTTATGGCAGCTATTAGCAATGAATACACTTCATTTTAATGCTTTCAAAATGAGTCTCACAATCTTGCTGTTCACAATATATCTCTAAGGTTTCACATATTTCTTGAGGATCTAAACTACAGAATAATTGTATGTCAATTTTTATTAATATTTATTAATAACATCTCACATTTGATTCTTCAGCATGATGAGTGGAGAATCCACTGGTGGGTAATCTCAGCCTTCCTGCTCAGTTGAGACTAAGTCAGAAATTTGCCACGCTTCCCTCTGGGCTGGACCTTACCCAGTTTTTGACTTAGTTTGCGGCTTGGTGGCTCAGCTGGGGGGGGGAAGGGAACTGAGTTGTGCGAGCGCTTGAATTCCATGAGTGGCGGGCCAGTATACATGCGCACATGTTCCCACCAGCCTGCTGCTCACACAAGTTGAACTGCATGCACGCTCCGGCCAGCCACTCACACAGCTGATTCCAAATAGGCCACGGCCCAGTAAAGTGGGCTGCTGCCCCTGGGTTGGGACCCCTGGGGTAGATTCTTCACTCCAATATCTCCAATATTTTCTTTCCCTTCATATGATCAAATGTAAAGATAAAATATATCTCCATGAGATAAATGACAATAAAATATGGAAATGTATATATGTGTATGTGTGTAAATAATGTAACATAGTGTAGTGAATAATAACATACCGTGTGTGTGTGTGTGTGTGTATGTGTGTCTTGAGTGTTTTTTTATGCACCCTGTTGGCCCAAATATGGGAAGAAGAAATCTAATTAGCTCAAAATAGCTATACCAATCTCCCTTTAACTCTTTGTTAGCAATCCAAAAATTTAACGTATAAATGATGTTGCAGTAGCGACTGCTGCCTGTGGATAGCCCTAGATTGGGCTGATACAGGCAAAAGATTTCTGCTTCCCACATTTGGGCAGACAGGTGCATCAAAAAACCAGTCAAGACATATCTCCTCCCCTGTCTCTTCCCTCCCTGATACAGCTGACAAAGTGAGAAAGAACCTGTGGCCTAGTGGTCAACGCAACTGCCTAAGTGCAAGCAGCCCAAGTTCGAATCTCAGAAGGGTATGGCTGGCTGATGAGAGCTAATTAACTCGAAATAGTTATACAGTCTCCCTTTAACTCTTTGTTAGCAATCCAAAAATTTAGCATATATTAATGTAGAGTTCTCCATAAGCTGCTATTGGCCCTTAGTCTACTGTACTAAAGCAAATACCTGCTCAGATACTACGTAATGAGAATTTTGTTTTTGTACTGTGTTACTAAATATCATGTATCTTTCAGGATTACAGTTTGTTATATGAAGAAGCAAAGTATTTTCAGCTTCAGCCCATGTTAGGGGAAATGGAAAGATGGAAACAGGATCGGGAGACAGGCCGGTTTTCGAAATCTTGTGAGTGCTTGGTTGTACGTGTTGCTCCGGATCTTGGAGAAAGAATTACTTTAAGTGGAGATAAATCTTTAATAGAAGAGGTTTTCCCAGAAATTGGTGACGTGATGTGCAATTCAGTCAATGCAGGTTGGAATCATGACTCAACGCATGTCATCAGATTTCCATTAAATGGATATTGTCACCTCAATTCAGTTCAGGTATGTAATCAATGTATTAGCTTTTTTTCTTTTTTTCCTTTTAATCTATATTCATAACAAAGTTTAACCAGATTTAAGCATATCTGACATATGACACATTACAGAGCAAGGCAGATTTAGACATTTGGAATATTGTTTGTATGAAAAGAATTGAGATTAATTAAAAACAACAGATGAAAACACCTGAACAGAGAGAAACAAAAATCTTCTATGTTTAATATTAAATATTAAAAATAGAGCATAAATATCTAGGTAGAGGTAGACAAAGATAATCAGAAGTACAAGAGGATGTATTACCAAAATTCCCCTTCACATAGTTTTGACTTTGATCTTGCCTTTTGTGTCTTTATTTTTTTTATTTATTCTTTTGCCCTCTTTAAGCTTATACAATATAATTAAAGTACATTATGCCTAAATAAATGGGTGAAACAGTATAATGAAGTTGTTAAGGGCCATTTATAACATGAAATGTAACCTATTGCTCAATGCAAGAATTAAAATAAAATCTACAAACAGATGCACGTATAACTTCTCGAACATACTCAATGAAGAGCTTATCATCTGAATAATTTCATGTTAAAGTGCCTTTCTTGTTTTTTAACTATAAATCAGAATGGTCTTTCTTGAAACTTAAATACATTATTTCATGTCTTGTACTCGAGAACAAGAGAAACAAATAGGTCCTGGCGTTTTTTCAACTATTCATAGTCCATAGCCTTTTTCAAGGCTATAAGTATTGACTTTCAATCAGAATAGAGCTGGAAGGGACCTGAGAGGTCTTCTAGCTCAACTTCCTGCTGAAGCAGGAGACCCTATATAATTTCAGATAGGTGGTTATCCAGTTTTTTCTTAAAAATCTCCACAACTTCTGAAGGCAAGTTGTTCCACTGGTTAATTGTCTCACTGTTAGGATGTTTCTCCTTAATTTCAGGTGGCTTCTCTCCTTGATTAATTTCCATCCATTGTTTCTTGTCTTGCCTTCTGGTCCTTTGGAAAATAAGTTGACCCCTTGTACCTTTCTTTATAGGTCTTAACTTTCTAATTTCCTTACCATCTTTCTCTTAACTTGTTTTAGTCATGAATTTTCTTAAAATGAGTTGATCAGAAATGGGCACTGTACAAGGTTAGTGCTTGACCAAACAGAATGTTTTTACAAGAAACATTACCAAGCCCATGTATTCTCGATACTATTCATTTGAGTTGTGTTTCTTCTAAGGTATATTGCATTTATCTCTATAAGATTTCATTCTTTGATTCTAGTTTTTAATTTTAAAAAATTAAAAATGATGTATGTAAATACTTTGGTTAAAAATAAGGCTATGGCATAATCACTTTATGTTTCTTATTTTCCATTAGAATTCAGAAGATTCATTCATTCAGAATTAACAATCGTATGAATAATATTGTATCATGCTTTGAATATCAGCTGTAGAGAAGCATTTCAGAGATACATTTTAATAATAGTGGAACTGGGATTAATTTATGATTTCTGAATGACATTTTTTGCACTTAGGCAGCTGTTTGTACTTTTTATGTTTTGTAGGTACTTGAGAGATTGCAACAAAGAGGATTTGAAATTGTTGGCTCGTGTGGAGGAGGAGTGGACTCTTCCCAATTCAGTGAATATGTACTTAAGCGAGAACTCAGAAGGACATCTCGTTCATCCTCGGTCATTCGAATAAAACAAGAACCTCTGGACTAAGACACTTTTTCTTATGCAACACCAGGGGAACCTTTTTCATGTGCAGTTGGGACATCAAACAGCTTTAGAATGAAAAGTTGAATAAAGACATGTTTATATAAAATATAGAGACCATGCCTGTATTCAAATGAGAGCATTTGGAATAGTAATAATTTCAACATGTAAAATATGTATATGTGAAATATTAGGTTTGCAAAAGAAAATAAAAATGGGTAAGTGAGGTTGGTGCTGTGATGGCCATTAAGTCTGCTAGGCCTTAGTAAGGCCTGATTGACTGTGAAGAAGCCATTGCCATTACTAGAAGCTAACGTTTTCTGTTTTCCATTATTAAATGGCAGTCTGCTTTTCAGTGTATACACCTTGAATCAAGTTTACAGATGCCTGCTTCGGAAGTCACTGAACAGAATTCCAGAAGAGTTTTCTTCATCCATTGCAAAAGAAAAGGTCATAAACAAGGATTTACAATGTAGCTTGTACAGAAGTCATACACTTCTGCCCACCTGACAGATGTGAACATTTTTCCCTCTTTCTAAAAAGGATCTAGAATTTATTATTATGTAGTAGAGTGGCCCTTGTTTGAATCTAATGAATTCAAAAGTGTTTTTTTTAACTTGATAATAAATGAAGTACAATAAATTCACTGAAAAGGTACTATTAAAATCAGCATTAAACAACGATATTTTTTTAAAAAATAAATTTAACTCACTGCGTTTTATGCATTTACAAGCTGCAATGCGATACACACTTATCTGAGAATCAGTCTTAACTGATCTCATGAGATACATATAGAATTGCACTGTAAACAATGATGAATTCAATTTGGAAAAAATATGAAGGCATGAAGAAGTTAGTAAAAAAAAAAGTGGTATCATTGTAGCAAAAGAAAATCTGTTGCACCTTATAGTGCTACTTTCTCTTTATTAATTTTAGCCTTGTTTGAAAAGGTGGCTGTATGGTAAAATCACAATGCTAGTCCTAGAATTTTATAGAATTTTTTTAAAGACTTGGTAAAGCAATTAATTGGAGATTTACAGAATTATTTCTGTAATTCTGAATTACCTAACACCTCTGCTTGGTATAGCTTCATCTGTGTTTTTAGATTTGTCCTCTTAAATCTTATATTCAATTTTTTTTTTTTACAAAAATGTTTTGCCTTTCTTAAAACAGGAGAGATATTTCCTTACCACCATCAATATCGGTTACTGAGACTTCATTCATTTTGTACTAATTCAGTAATAAAGGAAGCCATTAATAAACCTCTTCCATACTATTGCCAAGAAAATAATGTGGACGTATTCATGAAGTTACTAGGAGTCAAGTTTAACTCAAAGGAAATAATGCATTATTTTGTTACTTTAGTATCTGAAGTCATCTATGTTTAATCTACACTTTTATTAAAATAGGAAATGCCATATTATCAGGACCCATAAGAATTTTATTGGCTGTTGGTTCTTTTTTCCCAATATGGGTAGAAAAATTACTGAGAAAACTTATTAGTAGGCAAAATATGTACTACATTATAATATGGGGATATATTGCAGTTGGGATTTCCCTTATTTTATTATCTTTTTTTCTTTACCTATTTTTTAATGTGAAGTTTGGAAAAATTGAATGTCTTTTTTTTAATGGAAAAATAGGAGCATGACTAAATCTGTAAAAATAAAAAAAAATAGTGCATTGTTTAAGTTGGTCTTAATAAGACTTTTATGTTACATGTTTTAAAGATCCTCTTTTCAAGGACCAACATAGTTCCCCCTTTTTTGTCCAAGTAATATTAACTAAGTGGGTTTGGCCTACTCTCAGAAGAGATTGCAAGTTATACTACAGAAGCCCCAAACTGTTGAGAAAATGATGCTTTCCTTGCCTACTCTCAGCTATTACAGTATTCTTCCCCATAAAGAATCTTTCTATATACAATCTAACACTATTAAGACTTCTGCTCTTTTTGGTGATACTTTATTGGGAAAAGTTTGAATTCAGAACTTCAAGTGGAAAAGAAATCCATCCGATATAGCTGTAATCACTGAAAGCTAAAAGCATTACCAGAGAGGGTTTTTTAAAAATGTGAAATAACCTAATTATATACCGCAATTGAAAGAATAAATCCCTAAAATATGTTGATGGACAAAAGCAATCTTGTGCTATTCCAGAAATGTAAACTTGTACAATTAATATAATCTCATTTATCCAATGGCATATGTATCATAAACAGTTAAGGTAAAAATGATGGATGACAATAATATTAACATACAGTTTCATGAGAAGGTATACTGAATTTCTGTTCCCAAATCTGTAAATTTGGACAATAGCAGTAATATTGCATTGCTGTATTTGGATTATTGTTATATGCCTATTTTTTAATGGGAATTAGTCTTAATGGATGTGCATTTTATCTTATTTTGCACTATGGTAAAACGGAAGGAACAGAAAAGTTGGAAAAATATTCCTTTTTAATCTTAATCAGTAGAAAAATCTACAAACGTATAAGAAAAATAAAATTCAACAACACTATCTGTACTTACATTTAATATTATATGCATTCCCTCCATTTTTAAAGTAGATGGTCCAGACACTGAATTTTAAGAATCAGATGGTGGGGTAATGTTATCTTGTTCTATATGTAGCACACTGTACTTCATAAGAACCAATAGGCTTTACGTGGTTAAAACGCTGGGTAGGATATTGGATAGAAAAATGACAGCACATATGTGTTGCTGAAAGTTGTTCTTCCCATTTACAAATGCTGCAGCTCAAATTACTGTGATTTTTATGTTTGATGGGATATGGAATCTTTGTTGGCAATTCGTTCTTGTTTAGTTGTCTGAAATAGACATTGTATCATGTTCCTTTCTAATTCTTTTATTAGTCAGATAAACATTTCTTCACTGAATGTTACATGAATTGAATTACAGATTGTGGAGGACTGGAATGTCGATGAGATTGTACTCTAGGTCAGTCATGGAATCTGAGGTTATGAGCTGAATAAAACATGATGCAGGGGTAACAAAATGCAGACTTCTTGGTAAGACTGATTAGCTGTATACAAAGAGAGCAGAATCTTGAACAGTCTGTTAAATGTCATTTGTTAAATCAGATTGGTAGATAAGAGCAATAAATATATTTAAGAAAAAATGAGCAGCTTTCTTTTTACAAGGTAATAATTTCTAAAATACATGGTGGTTATAATTTAGCTACATTTTATTTCATCGGTGGATGCTATATATTGCTGTAACTCATAAAAAATGGAACATCAGCTGCCAAGATTTTGTATTCTTTCAACATGATTTAAGTGGTACCAAAGGGTCTGTTGGGAATATATACTGGAAAAAGCATACAATATGATTTCCTCAAAATAATGTGGCTGGAGTTGTGAATGAAACAAATTTCTGAAGGCAAATTGATCATTGTTGCTTATATTGATTTTGAATGCATTTTAACTAGTACAAATACTTCTTTGTAGTTCTCTGATGTTTAATCTGATTATTTCTTTAAAGCATAACTTAGACCACCCATTGTCTAATATAGACATTTTGACATGTCTCAAAAATGAGTTTAATCAATAAAATTTGTAGAGATTTGTTTCTTATTTGATAACTCTTAACTGCAAGGGTTAACAAGCTGTTTCCAAAACTGGTATATAAAGCAAGAGAACACATAATACCAAAAGATACAAAATAGCTGCAGCCTCCAGGGAGAACAGCTTATACCATAGAACCATTCACTGAGAAATGCTCCCAAATGCTTGATGCAGAAACAAAAGAAATCAAAGTTGAAAGCAGACAGATGAAGAGGATATAATTTTTAATATTAATTTTAAAGCTCTAGAAGTAAGCTAGACCTCACTGATTTTTGTCCAGTGGATAGGACAAATAGTAATTAGGAGTAAGTGTAATTGTTTTACACATACTGCAGCTTCCTATTTAGCATGACTGAAGTATCAAATAGAGCAAATGCGAGTTTGTCTATTCAAGGGATTCTTAATTACAGCTCTTCCTTAAGCTATGGAATCTACTTTTGAATTTTACAAGTAGACTGAATATTTAGGAGCATGCTTACCTAAATTCTGTACTTTTTTATCAACTTGTTTGTCTTACTTTGATCACCAGTTTGCCAAAGAGAGAGGGTAAACTAAAACTCATATTGGGGAGGGAAGTAGATTTTTTTAAAACTCTGCAATAATATTGTCCATTGTTCTTTTTTATTATTTCTTTAGAAACTAAAAACCAATTACTCTGTCATTCCTGTCCTTCAGAATCCTCTATTAGGAATTACTTCCATTGGACAAGTGGCATTTGAATACAGACATTCTTGCAGCCTGAGGTTTATTTACAGTGGAAATGAAACCAAGAAAGCTTCAAGCCCTTCGGGCCAGTTAAATATTTCAAACTTCAATGTGAGTGCTTTATTATTTCTTGTGAGAGTAAGGGATCACCAGTAGTAAGATCAATACTTTGCATTAAAGTTTCTTGTCATCTTTGGCTATTTCCTCACTGATTTGATTACCTACACCTAAGAAAAAATGGATGTTAGATCACATGCTCTCTGTCTGAGGCTATTGCTTCCTTTAAGACTCACAATCTTGTATTTTTAATTCAAAATTATATTGGAAAGTTGGATATTTTTTGTTTTATTTATCAGTTCATTTTTTTTTAAAAAATAATATTTTTCCCTAAAATAGTGCTGATCCCTTTCTTTTATATCATACTGACCACTTTCCAATTTAACAATGGACATTCAATATAAAAATTATGACACATCTGCAGTCATTTTTGTTATAAATATGAGTACAAAGGTAAGAGCAACAGAGTCCCTCTCTTAAAGTCACGGGTGGTTCAGAAATGTGAAACAAATAACTAAAACTATGTGGGTTATAATTTTAATTTGCATTTGCTTTATTTCAACTGAGCTCACATATAACAATAGACATGAATTATTGATTGTTAAGTGTTGCATTAAAGAATTTTGAAGTGCCGAATTTAGTATTTCTAACTTATAAAGAAATTCTAATTTAAAAACAAGTCCTAGTTGACGAAAAATTGTCTTCTGCAAATTTCCCTTTTCCTATCTATAAACTCAGCTCTTTTTCTAAATAAGATGACAGTGGCCTATTGCTGTGTCTGTTCTTTATTACTGGTTATAACTGTCAGGGAAATACATTAATGTTAAAACATGGGATAAATTGAGTTAGACATCTAAGGAAGGGAAATTAAGTTGCCATTTTCCAGCTAGCAGCCCCACAGTCTTTATGATACCTATTTCTGTTGTATGTTTTCCTGAGGTTTCCATACAATTATTTGTACTGTATGACATTTGACCATCATAACATGCCCCAAAAGGGGAAAATCATAAATCAATGTCTGATTAGAAACGATATCCTCTCAACATACAGATCTCAAAAGAATTTCAGTGGGTTTAAGATCTATGAGTTATTACTAAATTATTGAGAGAGCATTTGTTTGCAGTGGGGGAATCATATAGTAATAAAAAATTAATCTAATACCAGTTAGATTGGAAATACCAACCAATGGATAACTACAATTAAAATGTTATCATGGGTGGAGAGTGGAATGTAAGCCAGGGTACTGCTGTCTCTCTAGTTTGAGCTGCAGTTGACAACAAATGAATTCCTTCATAATATAAAAATATAACTAGATTTTATTTTGCAAGTGTTGCCGTTCCAGGGGAAAATGTTCATTATGAGTTGCCTGGCTTGGCCTAGTTTTTGGATCCAGCGGCCTATGATTTATAGCTATACACTATGTTAATTTAACTTCACATATGTTTAGCATTT